GAATTTATTCCAATTAAAATCAATGGAATTTTTAGCCGCTCTTGCTTCGTTTGCTAAAAAGATATTAACTTCAGTCATACTTCCTGTACGACCATTTTTTGTTTGCTTACGAAAAAATTCTTGTTTTGACTACTTTTTCAATTCTATTGTCTATATAAATTATTAAGTAGAAATGTATTATTTTTATTTTTTATTTATGTTTCTTCCGTTTCTTGTAAACATTTGCGATTGCATTGTGCATGCCAGCTAAAAGCTATAAAATAGAAAATAGAGCACAGTCGCTCAACTAATTATTGTGTTTTGCGCATAATTTTTAACCGTTTTTGCTCATCAGTATCTTATTAAAAAGATATTTCAATTATCTATCAAATGAGTATATATTAATAACTATTGAAACAAGTAACAAAGATAAAAAATGACCTTGAATTGAAAAATTTCTGTTTTTTGTACTGAAAACCCAACTTTGCTCGAGTGGCGCAACATCATTTTTAATCCTATTGATCCAAAACTTTGGGAATATCATTTTTTTGGTCAATGGCATATTCCTAGGGGGTGCGCTCATTCAAAACATCATTTTTAATTTTCCCCCTTATAACGCGAGCCACCCTAGTGGTCCACGTTCTGCGCTATGTCCTAGCACGGCTCTAGGCGACGACTATCCTTTTGCTACCCCCGAGTAGCTGCTCGTTATGCAGAAATTCAACTTCTTCATTTTTTTCTTTGATTTCCTGTACCATAATTTTCTCATATTCTCCTAGCAATTTGTTTATGAATGACTTGGATGTGTTGATAGGAGTCGAGTTTTCCGAAAACCTGTTTAAGAGGTAATAATTTAACGTCATACGTAATGGAACAATTTTCGAAGAATGAGATTTTCCGCAAAAATGGATCCTATATTTCTTTTCTTGAATCAATTTAGTTTTCAAAATTTTTTAATTAAAAAATATTGATAATTTGTTTTTCGAATGTGTGATTTTGTGACATTATATGTGACATTATATATCAATTAGTATTGAAAATGAAAAGTTCACCCACCCATACAATAGTTAATCCACTTTAAATCGAATTAATTTAATAATTAATATCAAATTATAATTTATAAAAACATCTTATGATTTGCCATAATAACTAAAACCCAATAAGCCTA